TATATGGTGATACTACAAACTTTAAGATTGGGTAAAGATCTTGAACCAATAATTTCTATAAATATTGACATATTGCTATAGCTGATATCCCTAGATTTTAAAAGTAGTATAATGATATTATAACATTTTAAAAAAGGCTAAAATATCTATTAACAATGACAATCATTTAATGCTTTTATAGTAAGCATTTTATTCCATCAGCATGACTAATGACATAAATTATGCTGCACATTAATGCATAAAATGATATCAAGTTGTTATAAGTAAAATACCTCGTATTCATATATATGGGTGTCACAAACCAGCTTCGTGACAAGGATAACGTAAAAAAATCTCTAAATTACTATAGTCTCCGGGATTCAGTATCCCTTAACTACCTCACAAGAATTTAGACGCCTTTGATTCTACGTTAAACTCAACTAGGCAATTGAGAACTACTTTATTCAACTATCTGAGGAGCTTATATACCCTTCCACGGCAGCTAACATTCATGAGTCATCTTATTAAAAATACTTAGGTGAGAACATCTACTAACTAATTTTTCACAGTCGGACTACAATATGTCCATTCATAGAATCATTTCAGTGCACATTACAGCACATTGCAGCACAGCATTAAATTTACTGTAACATACTTATATTTAGAGTAATTCATATTGTAAGTAACTAGTTGTAATATAGTATCACTATATTATATTCACCAAATTTAGATAGCTATTTCTTCACGGTAGTTCGAACCGTGACAATGGGCAAAAATGAAAAATTCAAGATTTTTTATCCGGTACTACGCCTAATACCTGATATTTACTGCTATTACTTACAGAGAATCTAATAGTTCGAATATTTCCAGGCATACCAATTGGTTTACGACATATTGTATTCTCATGTCTGCCAAACGGCTATAAAATATCATAATTTTAAAGTAAAGTTTGAACAATCAAACAAATAAGTATGAAAATACAAATACAACTTTATATATATGTGATTTCCAACTTAGTGTAAGATATAGCTTACAGAATCTGCAATTTCTTCAGATGCGTGAGGGTATTGCAATTGAGCTTGGTTATAAAATTGCCCACTAAGGAACTATTTAATTTAACAAATTTTGTGAAAGCATAATTAGATTCAACTTTAAGACATGATTTTGTGACCTAAGAGCTACAAATCTTAAACAAAAATGTACCAATTCAGTACACTCACAGAGTTGATAACTGCAGCGTATTTATAAAGCTTTGAGGCTCGATTAATTCTATTTTGTTACCGTCAAGGTATCTATTCGTCCAATAAAATATGAGAGTTTCTGTTATCCTTTTCTTAAATAAATACTGCCTTCGCTAGTAGAAATATAAAGATGATCTGTCTTACAATTTCCTTAACGAAGTTAAGTTCTTTAACAACCCGTTAGTAATTGCCTTTAGTTGATTATTCTTAATGGATCTTTTAAAAAACGCGATCTGAATTAGTAACTCATTGAAACCGAAATTATTAATATTCATCTTACAAAATTTCTAGACCACCGAGAGATTTTGCAAATAAATTTTTGAAACTTTTCATATGACAATTATTTAAATCCCTAAATTATCACACAATTATTAAATATAAATATTCATTAGAGCAAAATTCAATTAAAACGCTCGAGAACACAATGTATGAATGAAGCCTAGATTTCAAAATAATTGTTGCTTACAGTTTGAATAAAGAAGTTAGGCCATCAAATATTCCATTAGGCAAGTAAGTTAAAGGATTGAAGGATATATCCCTGCGGGATAGGAAATATTTACTATTTAACTTAAATAATGAAGGATAATAGTAGATCCATTTTACTAGTATAAATCTCGATTTTAGTATCTCTAAAGATAATGCCAATCACTAATGATATTGTTAATATCAGGGACGGTAACAATATCAGGTATTATTACAAGAATTTTAGTCTCTGCAGTTTCGAAAATGCAGCTTCATGTATTGTTTTAACTTGATTTTGTGACATTGTCCTGAAAAAGATACACGTTTAAATAAGTTTAATAGCGTTAGATTTATTATAAATTTAACAAATATTATTCTAAAATTTGGTATAAGCATATGTAGCGGGAAAATTTCGAATTAAAATAATTCTTGTAAGGTAAAATTTGCGAATACCTTTACCATGCTACAGCATTGTTTAAGCTGCTTGCTTAGTAAAGAAAGAAATTATTAATTAATGTCTATTAATTAAAATCAATTCGTAATTTGATATACTTACAGATTTTCCAAATGGATTAAGTTGATAAATTCTTCCACTTTCAGTTCACTGATTAAATTATTTTTCAAATTGCTAGGGAAATGATATTGAAATGAATTCGTAAGACAAGATCACAAACATAAATTTCTCATCCATCATTACATTTTAATCTTAAACTAGATTGTGTTAGTAGCTCTAAGGCTTAAATATTAGTATCTTTAAATAGTCAGCACAACGATGTTACTTACAGGGAGATAAGTGTTTTCATCAAAGCTAGAAACTTTAAATCGGCGATATAATTATTTTCTAAAGATCTGCAACAGTATAAAAGAAATAGAAATTTCGCGAGGATAGATAAAGAATTTAAATCCAGATACAGTTTATGATATCAATTTAATAGCATCCAATTTAGATATGCTTTATGTATTTAAGCTAGTTATTATTATTTTAACTTACAAGGAAGTCAAGTTGAATATATTAAAAGCCATTTTATGGATTGTAGATAATTTGTTATCTGAAAGAGTCCTAATAAATATCCACCAGTTTAAAATAAGCTTTAAATTTATTCGCATATTATCTTCAGTAAAAATTTAGACTATTAGTGATACCTAATATGCATCATATATTTATCGTACATACGAGAGTTTTTCTGACAAAGTTAAACTGTAGATCTGATATATTGATTATATGAACTCTTATTTTAATCAAATTTACGCGTTCTATCAGAATTTATATCACATCCGGTATCCATCTACGCGCTATATCTTACTGAGCTAGATTAACAGCTTATTTATCTAAGTTTCATTGAATTATGTCAGCAATATTTTCTATGACATTTTTGATTAAACAAAGGCATGGCTAATACTAGTTATATCCTATACTAGGTCTTACAATTTCGAAAAATTAGGCAATTTTCTCAGTTCTCGAAAATATTCTGCGGAAATACTTCTAATTTGGTTACTTTTTAAATTTCTGGAAATAAAAATTTAATTTTATGGTAATGCTAGCTTATACCAGCACTTTGAACGGTGGCCCGATCCAGTATATAATTGTCACAAACCAGCTTCGTGACAAGGATAACGTAAAAAAATCTCTAAATTACTATAGTCTCCGGGATTCAGTATCCCTACTCACAAGAATTTAGACGCCTTTGATTCTACGTTAAACTCAACTAAACAATTGAGAACTACTTTATTAAACTATCTGATGGGCTTATATACCCTTCTACAGCAGCTAACATTCACGAGTCATCTTATAAAAATACTTAGGTGAGAACAGCTATTAACCAATTTTTCACAGTCGGACTACAATATGTCCATTCACAGAATCGTTTCAGTGCAGATTACAGCACAGCATTAAAAATTAACTGTAACACATTTATCATTAGAGTAATTCTTATTGTAAGTAACTAGTTGTAATATAATTTCACTATATTAAATTAACCAAATTTAGATAGCTATTTCTTCACGGTAGTTCGTACCGTGGCAATAATATTAACGCTTGCGATCTCTTTCACTAGCTAACCGATTTATTCTCTCACCTCTAGTATTCATTCTTAATAAATCTAAGAAAGTAAGCTACGGAATACAGTATATATCTATCTACTATATAAATGAGTATTTATCTCCTGTAGTGTACACTGTACAGTAGCGTAAAGAAATGGATCTACAATTTTTAGTGCAAACTTGCTGCGACGTCACGAGTACGCTGCTCAAGTGTACTACGTGGGCTGTACATTGTACACTTGCACTGTAAGTGGGCCCTTTTGCGTGCATACGTCCGTGCAATCATTTTAATTATTGTACATCAACAACAACGAATTAATTTTACTTATTTTCTCAGCTATATTATCTCTAGATTGAGAGCATTATCACAGTATTACTTAATTTTTAGCGATATCACTTAAAATTGATAATACTAGTTCTAATGCAATGAAAAAAATTTTAATTTTTGCTGGCATCGCGTAGAATCTAGGTTCAAATTAATTTAATAAACTGCTACTTCTGTATCTTAGCTTGCACTGCACCTAGCAATATTGGAATTTCAATTCGTTTTAAAAGTAAATTTTACTTCATATGTCGTTTATGTTGCTTACAAGCTTCTAAGTTCACTCTGCTCTTGAAAGTTTAGAGCGGATGTAGGATGAAGGTGATTTCCAGTTAAATCCCTAAGGCGACAGTTGCATTCTACATCACAATATGATCATAAAAATCTATGCACTAAAACATCGTAACTCTGGCAACTTAACGTAGATAATTTTAACTATTACATCGCGCATGAAAATTTAGAATTATAAACCAAGCCGCAACTGTAAGTTCTTAAGAGTTTTTCTGGTCAAGCTAAATAACTAACGGATTATTTAAACTCTACTGATATTACAGAAACTGCGAATGTCTTCATTTCCTATTATCATCATCCATGGTAGCCTTTATCTGTATTTTTGGCAAGCTGCTCTTGCATATCAAGAATTACACTAGATTGTAACGTAAAGGACATATTTTTCCTTCTCATTATCATATTGTTATATTAATTAGCATTAGCTGCGTTATTACTTATAAGGGAAAATAAATTTAATAGCTTTATTATAGCAGAATTACTAAATAATCGAGAAATACAGGGACTAGTTTTAAAAATTATGTAGAATATTTGTGAATTACACTATACCAATGCCAGAGTTCTCAATTTCTATTAAGAAGCTGATATTTTCGATACTTGGATTTACAATAGATTATTGTGGTAATCGAAATTCAAACTTGGAATACTCGTGAAGGGAAGTAATATTTGTTATATTTAAAACTGTAAGTAACAGAACAATAATAGATTAAAGTTGTCATATATGAATCATTGTAGATGGACGATTAGGATTGATTTGGTAGGTTATACATTCCAGATCTGCCACAGCTAACAGTTATACTGTATTAAATCATTACTTACATCGTTGTCAATCCTTTTATTTGATTCATATATTCGACGCTTTTAATTTTATTCCAGGACAAATCACTAATTACAAAGTTAGAAAAGATTAGTTGACAACTGGATTACTGAAGCGTTACAAGGTTCATTCTTTTTATTTATTAATTTTATAGGGGAAATTCACGTCCAACAATATCTAAATAAGCCGAGTTATACGTAATTGCGTATATAGATCTATTGCAATACTTACAGATTAGACGTACTAATTACTGGCCATACGCCCCAAGATATTACGTCAATGTTATTATAAGATAACCCTCTAGTGAAAATAATTTTCCAAACCACCAATGATCAATTTTTAACTTAATTATGCTACTAGGTAATAGTATAAACGTTAAGGTATTTCTGAAAATGAAAACTCCTATGGTTATAACATTATTTTAATTTACAGTGTTTTTCCTTTAAATTGTATATATAGAACAGTATCCGCTGTTATCGTATTTCCATCCAAATATCTAAAATAAATTCTAAGTCAGTTATATATAGTCCACCGCATCGCGTTTCATTAAGAACTGATATATTCTTTCTTAAATCATTTCTAACAATTTTTCCAGACGCGGGATGTTCATAAAGAATTGATTATCCAATTCCTTTATTACATTATTTCGCAGCGATCTAGATAAACACATCCAGCCGTAATAAAAGTTAATTTTAGAATTCTTCATCAAAGCATATTTAAATCTATTACAGACGTAATAATATTAGTTTATATGAAATAAATTATTTGATGATAAAGCAGAGAGATTTAACGGTTCTAATTCTTGGATACTAGCCAAACATAGTTGTTACTATAAGCTACATGCTGCTGCTACTGAACTACGATTCCAATATTAAGGTTAAGTTACAGTAGTTCTTTCATACTGATCATGTAGTGTATTATTTACAGTCTCTGTAAAGTACTATAAGTATGTTAGCTTTATAAGAGAATGTACGTTAAATCATAATGATTTGTTTTGCAAGTTACAGTTGTAAGTCGTAACCGTTCATGCATTGTATTAATTGGTATTAACGGTCTGTTGAATCATGACGGGTTACCGTTATGTCTCCAATTTAAGATATGTATGTCAATTGAGTCATTAAGTGAGTGTAATAGGAATTTTGTCGGTGACATTAAATGACCGTAGATAAGATACATGTTCAGGTGGGATTTCTTGCCTAGCTCATACCAAGAACTGTATTTTAACTTGTCATAATTTCTTATAGTACTTAAGTTAATAATATGGTTTTGTTTGACTAAGTTACAATCTGTCATGTTTGTAATACTTTAGCTATGTTAACCTCCTTTGATCATATATCTGCAGTTCACTTGTTTCATGCTATCTTATTTTAAATTTAAGCATAAAAGCTAGTTATTGCTGGTTGTTTTTGGTTTTCTTTTCTTTAAAGATTGCTAGTCAGTACTGCTAAAATAAAGTCGTAACCTAAGTAAGTTACACTTTTACCGACAGTTCTTTTGAGTCTATCTGGGAGAGTAGTTCTAGATAGTTAATGCCACTTAGACAGTTATGACAGCTGCAGTAAATTTGCTGGTTGCAGACAGACTTGTTGATGATTACAGCAAATTATTAACTTTAAAACATTAAATATATTCTAGCGTATAGTTTTTCTGTAGTTACGTTATTTTGCTACGCTAATTTAAAACTTTAGTAAGATAATTATTTATTTTGATCGCACCAACAACTCTGTATAGCATATAAAAAATGGCAGTACAGTTGGATGTTAGTATAATTTAATCGAAATTAGAAGTACAGAAATTGGTAAGTAAATACTCTAGAAATAACTGAGCAACCCAATTTTTTCTTAATTAGCGAAAAATTCTGCTCTCTTTTTGTTTCAATGCTTTCTTTTTTAACTTATATCTAGCATATTAATATCGATTTCTCTCAAATTAAGGGCATAAGCTTAGCTTCTTTACGAAACATTAAGATTATTTATCGTCTCAAATCAACCTGATTTAAAGTAACAGTATATCAATGTGCTCTAAAATTTAATATTTTATTATCTTTCTTTCTTCGTTTGTCACAATCATGATTTCGAAGAATGAAATTTAAACTAGAATGCGTACTAACAATAATGTATTATAAGAGCAAATATATTTAAATGACACAGTCAATCGAAGATTATCTATTATAGAACTATACCTGGTGATATTAAGCTATAACCTTCAGATTATACTAATTTCTTAAATTAGAAGCAGATAGTTATGCCATTTAATTTATCTGGAAACTTACAATTCCCTGAGATTAGGTATCAGTTCTGGTTCAAGTAAACGCAAAGATTGGATAGAATTCATGCTCAAGTCTCTAGATAAAGATAGAAGTAATAGTGCAAATTGATTGCTAATATCCAATTCTAGCATTTATCTTATTTATTATATAACACAATTTTATTGTTCTATTTTAGAATAGCTTGATATGTCGATGCTAATGTAAACGTAATATGAAAGGAGATCTATAGGTTTTTGGAGAAGGTTTCGTAGCTATCAGTGATTAAATTAATGCGCTTCTGTATGAAA